CAGGTCCCAATACATCTGCAGCTGATGAGAGGCTTCACAGTCAGTTATCAAAAAACGGTAATAAAAATTTAGTCACGTACCGGCCTGCTCTTCAGGTCCCAATACATCTGCAGCTGACGTGAGATCCCAGTGGCAGCATTCAAGAAACAAAAAGGACAGGCACGTATTGGCCTACCCATCAGGTCCCTCAACATTCCCGTGGTATTCCCCCCCCCAATTCCCTGGCCTTCACAGCAGGTTTCCTTTCAACGCTTAGTCCCGCGCTTGTCTGACTTCGTGTCGTTCACAGGCTTTGTCCGCGCCCCTCCCAAGTTCCCTCAGGCTTCAGGTTCCCCGCTTTGGCACCAACACCTGGCACCTTCCGCCGGTATCCGGTACAAGGCTCGAGTCTTCCGATTCTTGCGGCCCACAGAGCTCCACTTGCTCGTTCTCTTCTCCCACGCCCGCCCAAACCTTTGCACGAGGCCCCAGACCCCCGAACTTTCCCAAAAACCCTCTAGTCACAGGCAACCATTCGTCAAAACCATGCAAAAACAAAACCCCACGGCCCAGGTTATTCAACTTTTCTTTTTTGAAACCCACCCGGCTGTTAGGCAGCAGCCCGACAACCAGCCCACACCCCAATTCTCGCCGTCCCCGGCGAGCCTTTTCTGTGGTTCCCAAACCTTTTCCCGCACCCAAAGGTCGTTTTTTCCCTGGCCCAAGGCTCGCATCATCCTACCCCTTTTTTCGTTAGATTAAGCTCCCCCTTTGTTTCCCTTTCTTACCGGACGTAACTTTTTGGTCTCCGAACCGCCTTGCCTCGTTATGGCACATTCCCCCTTAGTTTCCTACCTTGGAACTACGATATATGCTTCTCTTAACTGTGACACAGCCTTCCCTTTGAAACTACGAGACATGTTTCCTCTAACTATGGTACAGCCTTCCTTTTGGGAACCACGATACATGTTGCCTCTAACTATGGTACAACCTTCCTTTTGGGAACTATGATACATGTCTCCTCTAACTATGGTACAACCTTCCTTTTGGGAACTATGATACATGTTCCCTCTAACTAGGGTACAACACCCCCACTTATCCCCGAGGAATTCTATATTTGTCTCCGCCTCCTCGTCCTTCGCTCTCGCCTCTCTCTCTTTCGTTTCCTCGCCTCTCTCTCGCGTTTGACTTTCAAGGCTTTCCTCGAAGCACTCCTTCGCTCCCTCATCCTGCGCTTCCCTAATTGGTTGGAGTCACTGTCATCTTCCCTAGATCGTTTTTCTCCTAGGGGTCTTTGGCAGCGGAGGTTTCCGAACCTTATATCCCCTCTTAGGCGGCCGCGGAGAGGCTCCCTGTGCCGAGGTCTCTCCCTTCTCGTAAGTGGTGGCCACCCCCTCGTCGACCGCTTCCTTCCCTTCCCTTTTCGGCTCTTCTTTAAGGGTCTCCCTCCATCGGAATAGTTTGAGGCGAGCCCCCACGATAGGGTCCCGTAACCTAGCTTCGTCCAGTTCGGCAAGAAGGTACGCCCTCCATCCAATCTCTTTAGGACTCGGTACGGCCCCATCCACCTGTTGGCCAACTTCCTGCTCCAAGTCTTTTCCAGTGACGAGTCGTACATCAGGACGAGGTCACTAGGCCTTATTGGCTCTTTTCGGACCCGCAAATTCTTGTCCCACTTTTCCTTCCCTTTCGTCCTCTCCTTCTCGATGTTTTCTCCCGCCTCGGCAAGTCCCGCGTCAAGGTTTTTGGATATTTGTTGTATCCTTGCCTCCAATAGTTCCGTCCTTGTCATGCCGGTCTTCCATGAGACACTCGTCCAAGCGTCGATGTGGAATTCGATGGGCAGTGGGCAGTGTCTACCAAACCAGAGCGTATAGGGAGGATATCCCGTGCTTGATTTGACCGTGATGTTATCGGCCCAAACTGCATAACGTAAGTACTTTGGCCATTGCTCCGCACGCCCCTTGCACCACTTGGCTAGTGCATCCACAAGCGTTTGGTGACCTCTTTCGACCGGGGTGTTGCTTTGGGGGTGATAGGCGGTTGTATAGGCCGGCTCGAGAACTCGGACCCTCTATCCATGACTATCTTTCCAACACACCCGTATCTCGCGATGTATTCTAGCAGAAAGTCACTCACCTCCTCGGTCGTCTTCTTCTTAATGACCTTAGCTTCCACAAACCCTGTGAGGTCGTCGCGGGCGTTAATGATGTACCGAAGCCTTCCGACCTCTTTAGGCATGGTAACTAGGTCAATGTGGACCTTCTCGCCCGACACGGTGGGGAGCGACAAAACTAGGGGTTCCTTGTAGCGAACTGTCGCCCTCTTTTGGCAAACCTCACAGGTCGAACAATACTTCTCTACTTCTCCGTACTGCCCATCCCACCAATAGAGTCTACGAAGCTTATCAAAAGTCCCTTTTACCCCCCTATGCCCTCCGACGACTCCGTTGTACAGCTCTTCTATGACTGCCTTCCTTTCTTCCGGGTCGCAAAGCACCCTCATGGGAATTGCGAACTTGGTAGGCCTCTTAAAGAGGTGCCCTCCTCGTAGGCAATACCCGAGCACTTCCCTCTTAATCACCTCGGTGCCTTCCCTCTTGCCTGCTAGGTATAGCCCTATGTCGCGGTACCTCCCGTCGTAAAGGTTAGCGAGGAACGTCCCAGGGCTCCTATCTTCCTCTCGGATGCTCACCCCCACTTGCGCCTTGTTAGCAGCCACTTGGATCACTCCCTCCTTGGACATTGCTGCCCTTGCTTCCTCCAACCTCGGATAATCCTCCTCTCGGATCGGGAGTCGGGACAGTCCGTCGGCGACCTGATTTTTGGCCCCGGAGATCCTCTCGACCCTATAATCGTAGAGTCTAATATGGGTCATCCATCTAGCGATAGTCGGGTCGGTCAGCGAGAAATCCTTTTGAAGGACAGCCGCTACCACGGTCGGATCCACTCTCAGGAGGAAACGTCTCCCGTAGATGTAGTGGCGGAAGGTCTTTAAGAAGTGCAACACCCCCAACACTTCTTTTTTGAACTGGCTATAGTTCCTCTCGGCGGGGTTTAGGGCCCGATTCTCGAATCGAAGTGGTTTCTCTTTCCCGTTTTGATCTCTTTGCGACAGAAGCCCACCTACGGAACACGGCCCTGCATCCGTAGCAACTATAAATGGGCGGTTCTCCTCGTCCTCGAAGAATGGAACGCCTAGGACCTGTCCTCCTTCGCGGAATTCATCTTTAAGGGCTTTCATGGCCGCGGTCTGTTCTTCTCCCCAGGTCCACCCTTCAGCTTTTCTAAGAAGTCGTCTAAGTGGCTCCGCCTTCTCGCTGTAGGCTTTTATAAAGATCCTCCAATAGCCCACCACCCCTTAGAAACTGCCTAACCTCCGTTATTGATTTTAATGGCGACGGCCAGGTCATCAATTTTTCCAGCTTCGTGGGGTCGTGTCTCCGCCCATCCTTGTCACAGATGAAGCCCAATATTTTAATCGACGACACTCCCCAGCGGCTCTTTGTTCCACTCACAGTAAGGTTGGCGTCATCTAATTTTGCAAGGACCTCCCTGACATCCTTCATATGGTCCACTACGAACTTTCTCACCCCGGGGAAGACCTCTGTCTCGTCCCGTTCGACCGGCCCTTTTATCGGGAAGTCATCGAGGAAGATCTCCACCTTTTCCGGTATGAATTCTTTGAGGACCGCGATCATGGCTCTGTGGAATACTGCGACGCCGTTCGTCCACCCCATCGGTACCACCATCATTTGGACCAGCCCTAGAGGCGTGTGCATAGCGGTCATGTGTCTATCTCGATAGTCCAAGGGGATCTCATCATAGCCCGAGAAGAGATCGCAGATCGAGTAGATCGAGCGACCTGCCGACCCTTCCGCAAGTAGATCAGCCTCAGGTATGGACCCCACGTCCCTTATAGTGACCGCGTTGGTCCTTCGGAGATTTTGGATCCACCTCAATTTGTTGCTACCTCCTTTTCTCAGAAAGAACCATTTGTTGGAGTAGGCACTTTCACAAGGTTCCGCGACGAACGTCCTTATCCTTTCTTTGATGAAGGTCACTATCTCTTCCTTCTCCTTTTGAGCATACTTCCACTGGGGTCTATCTTTCCAAGGTACGTCAGGAATCGTATGGATCCGGGCAGGCTTAGCGTACCTCGGGTCGATGCTCCCCCTTTTCGAGTCATCGAAGGCTATGGCCTTATCGCAGTCCCTTAGGGTCATCGCTACGTACTCCTTCTCTTCGTGCGTGAGGTTTCCATCCCCTATATCCATTTTTGCCAACCTGTCGGCCGTAATTCTCTGTCCTTCGGTTCCCTTCCTTTTTCGGATGATATCGGCGATTTTCTCCTCCGATATCGAAGTTTCCCCCGTTCTATCCCGGCTGACCGCAGCGGGTTTTACTTTCTCCGCTACGGTTTTATAGTTCTTGACTCCGCCGGCTAAGGGGATTCCTCCAAAAAAGACAGCCTTACGTATCCACCGAACTCCTCTTCCTCGTCCTCTTTCTCGTATCCTACCCCATTGGTTATAACCCGGCCCCCGACATCCTCGACATCTATCCAGTCCCCCGTGGGTTCCTTATCAGCAAATGGTGATTCTTCTAGACGGACTTGGCACACCCTTGATTGGGCTTCCTTCCGCCTTGGAATACTGGTCCGATTTCGCTCATCTTGAGCGTCCACAGTCTTTAGGACCACTCGGATCCCATCCGGACTCTGGATCGAGAGAGTCCGACTCCCGTCCGGAAGGTCAACCGTGGTAGCGTGGATCGCGCTCAGCCAGGTTCTCCCGAGGATCAACTCGGAGGAACACTCCTTCATCAAGACAATCAGAACCGTGGCTTCCACCCTTGCGACTTCAATTAAGGGGCTGTGACACACCCCTTCCGCCGGTTGGAGCTTCTTATCTGCGACAACCATGGACATGGATACCCCTCTATCCACTTCCAGCCCTAATTCCTTTGCGATAGAATCCCTACACACAGTAGATTCGGACCCATTGTCCACCAGGACCCTCATCTTCTTTCCACTCACCACTGCTTGGAGCTGGCCACTCCCTAGCACATAAAATTTCTTAGTTTCTTCTTCCGAGAAGAGACTAGCCGACAGCTCCTCCATCGTAATTCGGGAAGACTGCACCTCATCCTTGGCGGGTCCATCCCTCGAAACTGTGGGCCCCCCCGCGAGCGGAACCCTCACCTTCTTGGTGATGCTAAGGAGCTCTTCCCTAGCGCTTTTGCTAGCCGCTAAATACTCCAGAAGAGTGCATTGCATCGATTGCATTAGAGTTCTCCGTAAGGAAGCTACCGTGTCTATCTCGTCCAAGGTGTATTTCATCTCGAACTTTTTCGCGCCCTTTTTCCTAGGTGATTTGGGTGACGTGGGTTCTTCCCCCTTCCTCTCTTTCGTGACTTTGGCGTCGACCATCGGTTGGTCGTCGTCGCTGCTTCTTCTCCCTCCACCTTCCGTCGCGCTTTCCTTGCCTTTAGACGGCCCGACCCCAACTTGGGTCCTTACCCTCAGGCAAGACCCTTCCTCTTCGGGCTGGGTCTCAATGAACTTGATGCTCGACACCTGGGGCTCCCTTATGGACACACCTCCTGCCGACTCTGTCATTTAGACGCGGGATGAGTTGGAGGTACCCCCAACCTCGGGCTTCTTCCCCAGTCTTGCCTCCTGGAGGGCTATCCTCTTGTTCACATTCACCTTCATTGAGGGATAGAAGGAGACTGTCGCTCCATCGTCCCCCCAAACCACCCACTTATTCTCATTTAATTTTACCACCCCCAACCTCAGGGCTTCCGTAAGGTAAGGGCACTCTCGCTTGATGTGACCCTCCTCATTGCAATAGACACACCCGCTTCGAGGCGGGCGAGGAGCCACTTGAGGGGGCGCTCCCGTTGTCGCGGGAGGCCCGGGAGGCGGTGGCGTTCTAGACTGACTTACCTCTGGTCGAGCCCCCACGGCCCTAGGTTGGGTCTCCCCATCTTCCATCCCTTGCACCCTTCCAGCGGGAGTTCCCCCATTCCGAGGCCCGATTCCCTCCGGCCTCTCGGCCGTTCCTCCAGTTCCCTTGGTTGCCGGGTTCGTTCCGCCAACCCGGGGGTCCTCCTCCCCAGCGATGGTCGGGAGGCCCAGGAGGCTGCCTTTCGTTTCCGCGGGGACCGTCGCCCTTTTGGGTGCGCATACTCCGGAGTGCCATGTCCAGACTCTCCTTCATGTACTCCCATACGTCCACCCCTCCTCCAGTGAAGACCACTTCGGCGACTCTTTCGAAATTCGCGGAGTTCCTATGGGCCTTTCCGAGAACCTCCCTCCTCTTCTCCTCAGGCAGGTGCAACATGAACATTACGCACCTGTCGACTTCCGAAAGCATCCCTCTATCCACCAAAGCCTGCGATAAACGTTTGAACCTCCGAGTAAAGGCCACCAGGCTTTCTTGCTCTCCTATCGTCACCTGACACAGCCCTTCTATCGTGGGGATCATGTCGTCACACGCAAAGATCCTCAATAGGCTGTTCTTGAAGGTCTTCCACCTTCCATTAGACGGGTATACGGCCCTAATGGCCTGGTCTAGCTTCGGGTCCGAATATTGTATGAAGTGGTCGATCCACTCTTTCTCCGAGAACTTCTTCCGGTAGGCGTAACTCTCTCACTCCTCCACGAACCCGGTCACGTCCCTTCCGTTGAAGTAGAGCGACTCTAGTCCAAGGTTCACATCGTAGTAGGGAACTCATCGGTCGTCATAACGACGAAAATAAGGACCTTCCGTCTATCGTCGGATCGTAGGGTTTGTACCAAGAAGGGTCCAAATCCTCCATCCGAGGTCGAGCTCTCGGAGGTCCCCATGGTTCCTCCTCACGGCGGCCTCTATCCCCCGGGTCTTCGCGTTCCCAACACATGGACTCTTGGCCCCTAACTCCTCTCTAGATGTCTCCGAACCCTCCCATATTTCTTCCTACCGCCTCTTCCTGTACCCAAGCGGGACCGGTCTCCCTACCGGCCCACCTTCGTGGTCCTCCCCCAATTTCGATTGGTCGTTCTCCCCCTAGTTCCCTCCTCCTTAGGCCACCTTCTTCGCCCCTCCTTGGTGCCCAGCACCCAACCCTGTCACGAGGGAACTCCTGCCCGTCGCCGATTCTTTCCTCCGTGTCCACGTGGCCCGCCCATCGGGTTTCGACCGGGAAGCCCCTTGTGGCTTCCGCCACCCTTTCTCTCACATGCACACACGGTTCCATCTCTCGGTGCAAACGCTCATCTGAACTCGCACGCGGTTCCGCAGCTTTCTCTCTGAGGGGTTCCCCCAGGTTCCTTAAGGTCCTACCAATAGTTTCTTCCTCCTCGGTCACCCCTTCGGCCGACTTGCTCAATCTTGCCCCCAACTCAGTATCCTCCTCGGTTCGCCCCATAACAGCGGTCTTAGGTGATCGGACGACCCCGTGCTCAACCACACTTTCCATGCACCAGTTTTTTTAGTCGCTCTCTCCGCTAGAGTCACTCCCTCAGCCTTCCGCCCTGCTACCCGCCTCCGAGCCTCTTTCTTCCCTATTCGATTCCCGTCCCTCACTATCACTCTCGGACTCTTCGCTGGTCACAGTCCACCGAGAGTCCCGCACCTTTTTCTCCTCGTAAGCGGCTAGCGCAAGATTGGTAATCTCCAAATCCGAGACACCCCTAATCCCTTCCTCGAGCACCGTCTGATAAGGCCTCTATCTACTTCTCCGGCCTGTCCGGAGAATAGGGGCTTGATGAAATCGTCGACCAAAGCCCACCACTCAAAGTCCGTAAGCTCTAGGGACTCCCAACACAGGGTGAACAGCTCGTGCCCCTTCTTTTCTCCTAGGGGGAATTTCTCAATTATCGGTCCTCTAATTTGGACTTTCCTCACCGCTGCGTCGTTGGGGTAGAGCAAACAGTAGACCCAAGCAGGGACCTCCCAGGTTCGGCCGTGGGCTGCTCGCGGGATTTCTATTCTTCCTCGGTATTCAACCTTCTCTATCTCACGCCCTCCCGCTACTCCCCTTCTCCACTTTCTAAGTCGATTTTGGGCTTTCTCTGCGATACCCAGCGGGTCCTTTCCCTCGGCTAACTCGGTAGCAAAGAACTGTCGATCGTCTTGAGACAAGAAGATCTCAACCCTTCGCGTGCGGGTACCCTCTCTTGAAACTACCGAGAAACGAACTAGCGTCTCCTGCCCGTAGATTTTGAAGAATTCTGTAATAACCTCCCCTTCTTCCTCAACCTTGGGGAGGGTAACTCCATACCTAGACCTAGACTTCCAAGCCCTTTCCAAGGTCCCGACAGGGTTCCCCCCGTAGTATCTAATCATTGGCCGACTCACCTTACCCGAGCTAATCTCATCGCCGCCTCGACTAGTGAATCCTCACACCTCCCTCGAGAGCCCTCTCCTTGATCGAGTATCGTCCGATGCAAGGCTTGCCCGTACTCTCCCGTTCTGTCCCATAAACGCGCCTCCACTAGGTGCACCCTGGCTTCAAGGGGGTTTCCAAGCCACCTAGAGTCCTCCTCAAATCTTCTCTCGACCTCAGTCAAAGGTTCCCTCCAAGTTCTAGAGAACCGTACCCCTCTCGCCTCTCGAATAAGGACTGAAAACCTAGCTAAGATGGTCCAGGACCTCCTTTTCCACAAGGCTAGTCGTCTCACCTCAACGAGCAACTCCTTTTTTGCTCGCTCTACTTGGTCTTCCCCAAGACCCGAGCTAAGCTCCGCTCCTCCCCTTATCTCGACCTCAGGCCCGTTGTCGCGCGTCTCCAACTCCCAAGCTATCGAGTTAGAGGCATAGGTAGCTCTCATGCCGTTCCTCCTCCCCGAAGCAGCTCGTTCGTTAGCTCGTCTAAAATCCTAACCGTGGCCGCCTCAAGCAACTTGATCTTCCGTAAGGACCCCTGCCCCGTTCTCCTCTCCTCCTCCCAACAAAGGGTCAGGATTCTATATACCTCCGCCCTTACCCTCTCTAACCCAACCAGCTCTCTGTAATCAGGCTCACTCATGCCTCAGGTTCCTTCGTCGACACGCAATTGCTATTCGTATGAGATCCGACGGGTCTAAACCTTTCAATCCCGCCTCACAAATCTTTCCCAAGTACCTCCAGGTGATGGCCGACACCCTTACGTGTTGGCTCCAGCCTTCGAAGGCATATGGGTTTTGAAGGCACCACGTTAATAGGGAGTGCAGATCCGACCGCGTGAACCTAAATTGGTTCAAGATTGATATCCTACGTTCCACCGCCCTTTTGACTGTTTCTGAGGGATAAACTCGCTCAAGGATAAAACGAGGGACTCCAACGGGGTCACTATCGAAAAACAGAGATACTTCTTCCCAACCCGCGTAGATCACTTGGTATATCCTATGGTACCCCTCTTGAGGACTTGCCTCTTCCACAAGCCTCTCTAGACGGTCCTGTGTTGCCCGTGCGTCTATGAGCGGATCCTCGCCCAACTTCAAACTGCGGACTACCTCCAGGAGACACTCCTTAGAAAGGAACACCTTGGCCTCTCCGATCACCAACCCCTCCCCGCAGCTCACCGTCGACCGAACGAACGCCTTCCCTCGGCGGATCTCGGCCACTTCCCTTCGAATGACCCTCGTTGGATTCTTTTGGCTTTCCTTGGGCAACGAGACGTGGACAACCTCCCCTTCCCCTCTCACAGGCTCTATCGAGGCCCAAAGAGTTCTGGGAATTCCCCTTATCATCGAGCTTCGTACCCCCGCCGGTTAGCCACCTGCTCTTCCCCAAAGAGGCGGGCGTACGAGACGTCAACGACGTGAGCTCGGATCCCCTCAAACTCTCTCAACCTCTCGAATATATGGGATTGTTCTCCCCTAGGGGGAACCCCAGCGTCCACACACCGCGTGTAGAGCCAGAATAGCCCTCTCGTCCGCACTCCGGATTCTTGAGCGGCTCGGAGTACCGCCACCACTCTCTCTTCCGGGTCCCGTAAGAATGAACGTGTCAGGAATTGGGGCAGGTCCGCGTGGAGCACCCTGGACGCGCGAGGGACCTCGCCCGGTTCGGCGAAGGACACCTGCGTCCACGACTCGAAGGTCCCCTCCTCGTAATCGCTCAGTACCAGATTGTTCGCTACCAGCCTCGCGGACTCGCGGTATTCCGTATGGGTCTCTCGGTCGGTCACTAAACCCCTCCAAATCTTGGCCCACGTGTCCTCGTCGAGAAAAATTGTAGCCCGAATCTCTAGGAACCGACCGAGGTCAGGCGGACCCCCTCTTTGCACCCCTTCTTTCTAGGTAAGCCTGCGTGCTCGAACCCACACGTGGGCGCCTTCCCTCATGACTCCTCCTTTCTCAACACTCTTCCAGTAGGGCGTCACGCGAGGGTCCCCTGGGATCAAGACTTTTCCCGCGTCACCGGCTTCTATCAACTCTACCACTCCGTTTTCGCTGAGCACAAATCTCACCATCTACAGGTGCCGTTTTGAAAACCCACTTGCGGTATCCCTCCGGCGAGAGGGTAACAGGTTTTTCTAGAGACCCTAGCCTCCTGAGAATACCCCAGAGCTTCCCTCGCGGAGGGATTCCCTGATCGACACAATGTGTGTAAAGTATCCACAGAGCCCCAAATGGTAAGCCTAAACCCCTTCCTCTTTCCAGGAGTTTCACCACTCTTCCTTCGTTCGCGCCTGAGAACACAAAGCCCGGGACCCACGTGGTCACGGGATAACTCGCCCTTGGGAGCTAACCTGCCCTAGCGAACCTCTCCGCCTCTATTGCCACAAACCCAAACTCCTTCCGGACCCTTTCGATCCACCTCCTTCTAACTTCTCTAGCCTCTCTGATTAATAGGTCCAGCCCACCCCCTTGGCCTAAGACCAGGGGTACAATAACCTTCGACCAAGCCCCCGGCTTGACAAAGATTATCGCAGTGACTTTGAGATGCACCTCAGTCGTTCTCCCTTCTGCCTCTTCCGACTCTACCCACACGAAATTTCCTCCGGCCATAATCTCTCCCCCTTCTAACCTTCTCCAATCGGGGATTCCCCCGGTGCTCGGAACTAAGCTACACACCCCTCGCTCATCTATAGGGGACTCGACAATTCTACCGATGCTTTTGTCAAATAGAACCATTCATTATAACCCACCTTTTGGAGGACTCCAAACACCCTTTGGTAACGGTAGTCTCGCCCGCTCTCACGGTCGCGCTCCGACTGCAGAGAGATCCTCTCTCGGATCCGGTTTGCCCTAACTCCGTATGGCACCGGGTTGTCCACACAATAGGAATAGAACCAATGGAGCGAACGAAAGGACAGGCCCCTCCTTCTCTCTCGCCTTATAGACCTCACGACTTTCTCCGTATGGCACCGGGTTGTCCACACAATAGGAATAGAACCAATGGAGCGAACGCGGTTCCCTCTCCAC